TGTAATAATTACAATAAATGTAGTACTAAATGAATATCAATCTATTCTAATAAATGAAGATTTTTTTACCACATGTCACACTCACATTCAATTTGTCAAATGTCATTTTATGGTTATTTTCAATTAATTTCTTTTCCACATGTCATTTTATTAGTTTTTCTATTTTAATAAATTTCACATGATACTTTAATGTAATAATTACAATAAATGTAGTACTAAATGGATATCAATTTCATTAATAGACTTACCTTTTTATTTCAAAATTTTCAAATTAAAGTTCATTAATTTATTTTGTTTATTTTTTTAAATTTAAAAGATAAAAAAAATGAATTTTAATAATTCATTATTATTCTTATGGGATATATACAGTAAAGTCCCAATATTTTCATCGATTTGACAAGAAAGTCCTAAACTTTATTTTTTTGACAGTAAAGTCCAAATTACCGGCAATTTTTGACACTTTTACCTTTTTTTCCCGGTTAGCCGGTAATTAGGATTTTTTTGTCAAAAAAAATAAAGTTTAGGACTTTCTTGTCAAATCGTCAATTAGGACTTTACTGTCAAAAAAATAAAGTTTAGAACTTCCTTGTCAAATCGTTAAAAATATTGGGACTTTAGTGTATATATAACTTTTCTTGTTAGAAATTTAATGATATGATACTCTTTAAGCATAAGAGTTATTGAAATCTTCTCTAATCAGCTAGATCCTATTGAAATCCTTAACGTTTGCTTCTTGTTAAATCGTTTTTTTAATATCAACAAACCGACATTGAAAAAAATTGAAATAATCAAGAAAGAAAGAACCAAGATTTCAATAGGATCTAGCTGACTAGAGAAGGTTTTATTAACTCTTATGCTTAAAGAGTATCATACCATTAAATTTCTAACCAAAAAAGAATATATACACTAAAGTCCTAATATTTTCAACGATTTGACAAGAAAGTCCTAAACTTTATTTTTTTGACAATAAAGTCTTAATTGACGATTTGACAAGAAAGTCCTAAACTTTATTTTTTTGACAAAAAATTCCTAATTACCGGCTAACTGGGAAAAAAGGGTAAAAATGTCAAAAACTGCCGGTAATTTGGATTTTACTGTCAAAAAAATAAAGTTTAGGACTTTCTTGTCAAATCGATGAAAGTATTGGGACTTTAGTGTATATATCCCTTATTCTTATTTTCTTATAAATCCAAAGTTCTTAAATATTTAGATATTTATATTTAATTTTTTAAATTAACCCATGTAATGCATGGGTCTTACACCTAGTTCTATGTAACTCCAAATAATAACCCTTTAAATTTTCAATTCTCAATATAATTACATACCGTATATTTAATATTATATTATATTAGAAACAATATTAATATTATTGGTTCGGTTCGGTTTATAATGGTTCGGTTTTTGATAAAAACCATAACCAAACCATATGTATTCGGTTAATCAAAATTAGAAACCAAACCATATATTTTAGTAATGGTTTGGTTAAAATGGTTTGGTTATATCGGTTAATTTGGTTATGGTTCGGTTTGTTGGTTAATATGATCACCTATATGCAATAGCCACGACGTGGCAAGATGGGTGCCACCATGTGGCGAAGGAGAATGTCACGATTGTTTTTCATGAACTTTGCTACGGCATAACGACATATCTGCCACGACGTGGTAGCGGATTTTGATCGTGACCAAGTTGAATGTCACGACGTGGAGGTTAGGTGGAGTTGACTTTGGTCGTTGAATTTTGACATGGTTTGACTTTTAGTCAAATTGCTAGTTTAGAAGGTAAACTAAAGGTTGCATTGTATGATTCTGTAGGAGGTGTGTAGCACCCACTTTGCGATTGTGTGAGCTTGTTAATTTTCGACTTCGTATGTGAGGTGAGTCTTCTCACTATACTATGTAGGGTGTTAGATTGTCTTTGTGACTCTTGCATGAAATATTGTGGTTGGATCATAGCACTTGTATGAAAGACTGTGGTTGGATCACAAAACTTGAATGGAAGACCATGGTTGGATCATGGCAGGAAAGACTGCAATTGGGTTGTAGTATTGGAAGTGATTGTAAGATTATGGTTGGATCATAACATTCACATGGGTTGGAACACACCCCTAGGGTTGGGACCACTGTTATGTATGGTATGTGGTGTTTTGGGAAACTCACTGAGCTTTATGCTTACGGTTGTATGTTTAAAATATTCCAGGTACTTCTAGTTCTAAAGGGTAGGATCTGACTTGATCGTACTGCATCACGTGGAGTTTTATTCCACATTATTTATTTTGATTTACTCTGATGTTGAGAATACATTATACATTGGTTGGCTTTTAAACAAATGATTGTACGGTTTTTTGGTGGTTTAAAAATGAAATTTTTACTAGTAATTTTGGGACGTTACAATAGTCGTCTAAAACTTATCAGTAACAGGTTCGGGACTCAGGACTCTCTCAGATGTTGACAGGGACAGTCTCACCACTTCTTTCTCAAAAGCTGAAATAAAAGAGGCGATATGGTGTTGCAGAAATGAGAAAGCATCGGGTCCTGATGGTTTTACTTTCAAATTTTTAAAACATTTTTTGGATCTCATGAAATCAGATATTATTACGTTTATGAGAGACTTTGAAGATTCCGACATATTTGCAAAAGGATGTAACTCCTCTTTCATTTCTTTAATCCAGAAGTCTCGTGACCCGCTTTCTTTAAAGGATTATAGGCCTATCAACCTTTTTGGACGTATTTATAAGGTTCTTTCAAAATTTCTTGAGTTATTATCCCTTTTTAAACAATGTATGTGGAAGGAATAAGTATTTTAGACGGTCCTCTCTTACTCATTGAAAATATTCTCGTAGGCTAAAAAAATGAAGAAAAAAGATTTGATCCTTAAAGTTGACTTTGACAAGGCCTTCGACTCCTTGAGTTAGGAATTGTTGGACTCGGTGATATATCAAATGGCATTTGGATGGAAATGGAGAAGTTGGATAAAAGGATGGCGTATGTCTAGTAGAGCCTCCATCTTGCTTAATGGTACCCCTACCAAGGAATTTAATATCAAAAGGGGCGTTAGACAAGGTGACCCTCTCTCCCCCTGTCTCTTTATTATTTCCATGAGGGAGCTTCATATTTCCATGGAAGCGGCTTGTGAGCTTCATTATTTTCATGGTCTTTTTCTTCATAGTAATGGTATATCTCTTTCCCGTCTTATGTATGCGGATGATGTGACTTTTGTAGGAGAGTGGTCGGAAATTAACTTCATCAATTTTAATAGATTGCTTCGTTGTTTTTACCTTGCTTCTGGATTAAAAGTGAATTCACACAAAAGCAAAGTTTATGGTGTTGGTGTGATTGATCATGATATGGAAAGACTTGCTAGCATTTTAAAGTGTGAGTCCGCTTCCTTCCCTTTCACCTATCTTGGGCTCCCGGTGGGGGAAAATAGAAAACTTTCGAAACATTGGAGCCCTATCATTGATAAGTTTAGGAGTAAATTATCTAAATGGAAAGGGAAATGTCAATCTTTTGGTGGTCGCCTCACCTTACTCAACTCGATTCTCAATAACCTTCCCTTATACTTTTTTTTTCTCTTTTTAGAGCTCTTAAGAAGGTGATTAATGTGTTTGATGGTATCCGAAGGAGATTCTTATTGTGTGTGTGTGTGTGGGGGGGGGGGGGGGGGTGAAGACAAAAAGAAAATTAATTGAGTGGCTTGGGATGTTGTAATTAAACCTAAGAATATGGGATGATGTAGAGTTGGTTGTCTTGATTTGGCTAACTTGGCACTTCTTGCCAAATGGTGGTGGAGGTTAAAAAACAGATATGATTCCTTTTGGTTATCTTGTATTAAATATATTCATAATATTAAGCTTATGGATGGAAAAGTGATTGCTAAAAAATCTATGAGGGGTGTTTGGTCTAGTATTTTGCAAATTGAAAGTGAGTTTGAGGATAAAGGTATCTGGTTTACTTGTATTTTTTATTTTAAGAGGGTTGCAGGACTTGGTGATACCACCTTCTTTTGGAAAGACTATTGGTGTGGTGATATGAGTTTAAAAGATACTTATCCAAACCTCTATGTCGTGGAGAAAATGAAGGATTGTTTGATAATTGATAGAGTCAATGTTGTTAATGTCCAAATTATACACTATCATTGGGAGTGGGCAAGAATGCTTATAAGAGGTCGTGAACGGGATCAACTCACTTCTAAGTGAATGAATTTTGATTTTCTGCTGGAAATGATGGATGAAATTGGGTGGAAGATGGTGAAAATAACTTTTCTGTTAAAGCTTTGAGGAGTTTAATTGCAAAACAATCCGACAATCAAATTTTTGATTCATTCATCCGGATCAAACGGATTCCCTTAAAAATCAATTGTTTTGTATGACGACTACTTAAATATAGAATTCCAACTTCTTTGAATCTTATCAAGAGAGGAATTAACATTGTTTCCTCCTTATGCACGTTCTGTCGGAGGATATTGATCATGTTTTTTCTCTCATGTCCGTCCTTTGCCCTAGTCTTATGGAATTGGTTGTTAAGATGGTCTTATCTCTTTACAAGGCTGGCCCTTTCTCGAGCTGAGCTTATTGAGATATTGATGTCAACCATGGGGACTAAAAATATTAAAAAATTACGCTTGTCTTTGACTTATACTTCGCTTTGGATGATTTGGAAGCGTGTAATGCGATTGTCTTCAAGAATAAAAGGAGAGCATCAATACTTAATATCCCTGGTTGATTGGCATGCTAGATTGTTTTTTGTAAGGGTTGTTTGCTTCTCTTGATATCCCTGGTTCTGTTTCGTCTGGCCTAATGCCTAATGCCTAATGCCTAATGCCTAGTAGTAGTAGCCAACCTGTGTTTGTGTGTGGGTGTATAAGTTCCGTTCCTGGCTGTATTACTACTTTAAAATTTTAGTCTTTATTATTTCACACAATCTTACTATTGAGCCCAACTGTAACATAAAACGTACATGTTGGTTTGGTAAATGACCATTTTGCCACATGAACAAACACTCTTTAATGCTAAAATAACTTCTATTTTCCTTCCACATGCTACTAGAGTATGAGTCAGTATTTATACAACAATACAGTAATTTTCATAACACACAATATATATCTACTAAATATTTCCATTTCTCTTTCATTTTCCTTAATCTTATACATCTCAAATATCTTATCACCCACAATAATCTTCCTTCTTTTCTCGTGTATTTCCTTTTAACGCCAAATTTCCATTTCACCACTTTTTATTTGCTTTATTTAACCAATATATATTGGTATCTTTACTCTTCAACAGGAGGATCAACCCAACGTCCATGCTCTTTAATTAGCTGGATCAACGCCTCTGTTGCATTCTCCATTGCAATTGCCCGTTTTACCACTGTCTGTAAACCAACCCAAACCAATCATTTATTTTTATTCTTTTAAATAAATAATTAAACACAATTCCATTTCCAAAAAAAAAAGTTACCTTTCCAACATAAAGATCAATCTTTCCAGGAGCACCACCAACATATCCAAAATCTGCATCCGCCATCTCCCCTGGTCCATTCACTATGCAACCCATTATCGCAATCTGCCCATATAATAATTATAATTATAAACTCCTCACTTCTATTATAATTCTTTAAAAATATCCATCAAAAAAAAAAAAAAGGATTTTCTCATTTTTTTTTTTACCGAAACACCAGGCAAATGAGATGTTTTTTCTCTAATTTCTGCACTTATCACTTGAAGATCAAATAAAGTTCTACCACAAGACGGACACGACACATATTCCTGCATTTTAATTACCACATCAGCACACCAACAAATAATAATAATAATATATTTATTTATTTCAATCTGAAAATAAATTATTTCCAACCGTCTTAGTGTTGCGCATCCTACACCCTTGTAACAAGTTAAAAGACGTGTTCCTCAAAAACTCAAAGTCCTGATCAGGAGCTTCTAGTAAAATACCATCTCCAAGTCCATCAACTAAAAGAGCACCCGCATTCGCACCCGCACTAATTACCAAATCGTCCCTGCCATTCGTTTTGTACAAAACATTAAATTTCAAAACCTAAAAATATATATATAAAAGGCAACAAAAATGTTATAAATTAATTACCTGGGAATTCCCTTTGGAAATTGTATGTGGTGAAGAACAGGGAAATTCAGTGAGTTCTCTGAGAGATACTCAAATAGCCTATGAACATGAAGAAACCAAACCAAACCAAACCAAAATTATATATAACTTTTTATTTTCTCTTGTTTCTTATTGATTTATATTTATATTATACCTCCTAGCAGCATGTACTCTGCCAGTTTTTTCTTCAGTGTATGGAAGATCATGAAGAATCATTGTAGCATCGCTTGTCTTTAAAACTTCTAACTCTTCATAAGGCTCATCACCACGTACACTCACCACCAAACGTGTGCCTGAAACCAAAATCATTAACCAAAACTTCTAATTCATGTTGCTGCAGTAAAATTTATTAAAAAAAAAAAAAAATTACCTTCTTGTAAAAGTTTATGAGCTCCAGTTGATAACTCCTTCAGATTTACTAGAACCATGGCATTGGGTAGAGGCTTTGTCAATTGTTCTGACAAAGGAGTTATTACTCCCATACTTACATCGATCAATCTTTTAAGAGCTAGTCGCTGATTGATCATATATACAAAAACATACATAAATTTAAAAAATTATTTATATATTTATATATAACATCAAGAAAAAGGTAACTAACAGCATCTTTATCGTCTGCAGGTGGAAGTTCCCTCAACAAGATAGAATCTACAGTTGCAAGATCCTTAAATGGCATACCAAGAACAAGTTTTGTTGCTAATGATTTATAGAACAGTTCTGGTGTCTGGATACAAAAAGGGAAATGCTACAAATTTTAATCATATATTTTTTTATATAAAAAAAAAGGTAATAACGAAGCTAAGAGAATTGAGTATAACCTTTAACTGATCAAGTGTAACAGACATGAGAACAGATCCATCACGATGGAGTGCACCTCTATAATCTACCTCTTCACCCTGTGTCACATATTCACTTTTTTTAAGAAAAATAAAGAACTAGTATGATAATAAAATATGAACATTTTGTGACAAACCTCCTTCTGCACAGGCAAATCACCAGTTCTCCTTTGAAAATCAAAAATAACGTCTGTTCTTCTCTTCAAATGGTGCCTAAATATAATTTTAACAAAACTATAAGACTTGGAAATTGGAATATATGTATTTTATATTATGAAATAAAAGATTATGCAAATAAAAAACATACCACTCCTTGTTGAATTTGAGCTGCTTTCATACCAAGATTTGCCAATTTTCTACATGGATCTATTTCTTCCTCTGGTGGTTCTGTAAGGGAAACCCTAATGGTATCACCAAGCCCATCCTGTACACCAAAAAAAAAAAAAGTTTAAAAAATATAAAACAAGAATGTATGATTATTGGTAAAAGTTTTGTTAAAAAGAAAATGACCTGAAGAAGAGTCCCAATGCCAATTGCAGATTTCATACGTCCATCTTCACCCTCACCAGCTTCAGTAACTCCCAAATGCAAAGGATAATCCCACCCCTGAACATACATTTCAGCTACAAGAAGCCTATATGCTTGCACCATAATCACTGGGTTGCTTGCTTTCATTGAAAACACAAAGTTATGGTAGTCTAACTTCCTACAGATTCTTGCAAACTCAAATGCAGACTCAACCTGTCAAATTCTCAAATCCAAATTTCATAAGTCACAATTTCATAACCAAAATCAATCAATGGTATATGTTTTCTCACCATTCCTCTAGGAGAATCACCATAGTAGCTCATGATACGATCAGAAAGACTTCCATGGTTTGTTCCTATACGCATTGCCCTTCCATATTTCTTGCATTTCTCAACCAATGGAACAAAAACCTTCTCAATATGTTCAAGTTCTTGTTGATAATCTTCCTCTGTATACTCCAACTTCTCAAACTGAGCCCTTCGATCAGCTGCAAGAAATATCTTCACAAGATTAAACAATCTGAAATAAACTTTGATAAAAAGATATTGAAAAAAATTACCAAAGTTTCCAGGGTTGACACGAATTTTATCAAAGCATTCAGCAACCCTGAGTGCAACTGAAGGAGCAAAATGAATGTCTGCCACTAGAGGTATGTTGTAACTGTAAATGGGAAGTCAATACATGAGTCAACATGTAGAGTTTTGAAAAGGTAGACAAGTATGTAGATTAGATAGACCTACTTCTTTTGGACAAGGGTATTTTTTATTTCAAAACATGCATCTGCCTCTCTTTTGCCTTGTACAGTTATGCGAACAATATCAGCTCCTCTATCAGCTATTTGCATCACCTGTATCAAGATATACTACTTAAAATCTAAATAACAGAAACGAAATTATTGAAGGTGAAAAAAAAGTAGAAGAAAAACCTGTTCCACAGTTGCAGCCACATCCTTAGTATCAGTTGTGGTCATTGTTTGAATTCTTATAGGGTGTTCACTACCAAGAGCAACATCTCCAACCATAACAGTGCAGGTTTTCCTCCTGATAGTTTTGTGAGTGGATTCACAATACTTCTGAACAGGAACTACAAGAAACAGTAAGAAACAACAAAATCAATGTCAGATACTTGATTTGAGGATATGTTAGTGCTAACATTACATATCATGGAGATGAATTGTATTTGTACCTAATAGAGGGCTCCCTTCAGAAGCAGGTCGGAGTTCTGCAATATCTGAACCAGGGTTTGAGTTTTTTATCACAGTTATCTTGGTTCTCTGAAACTTAACTCTCTTAAGGTCTGAAACTTTGACAAAATCTGAAGCTTTTGCAAACCCCAACCCATTGTCTCTGTTCTTTAAACTTGTAAAGGAAGCTGGAGCGAATCCAGTAGCCATGATCACAAACAAAAGTTCACAGCTTCTACAATCCTGAAACATAATTGACAGAAATCAATATAAGTTTTACATATTGAACTCGTACTAATTATACCACCTACATCTAATTGATCAAGTCAAAGCAATGGACAATTCATATGCAGTCCCTACTTTCCACCAACAAGAAAGACGACGCTTTTAACTTTTTAGATCAAACAGACAAATTCCAACTTTAGAACTGATTGGATTCTCATCTTTTTGGAAAAGTATATGACAATTACAAAAGGGATTATAATATATGACGTCAAGAGACACGTCATGTCTCTGATACAGGGAGCAGAGGAAGTAGTTAATTTATCTGGAACAAATTCTTCACAGAACTCGAAAACGGAAACCTAATTATATCTTTCTTCAAGCTTTTACCATTGATGCACAAAGAAAAGTAAGTCGATAACACAACAATTCATATTTCAACTTCTTAAAGCTCACCGGACTTCCATAAACTACATCAATTTCAAGCTAACCGTTCGATTAAATTCCATACGAACATTATAAACCTCATGAACTTAAGCCTATGAACACGTACTTGTCGTCAATTTTGGACTAGATCTTATATCTTCTTACTACAGAAATGAATAAAATTCTTGGATAAACGAACAACTTTAGAACAGTACCGAACAAGATCAAGTGAGAATCAATGATACGCACCTTCTGCACGAGTATGAGCACCGAAATTGAAGCCGGAACAATTGATTTGGACTCGTGGAAGAATCGAGAGTGTGTTTATAACGGATGCAATGGCCTTCAGAAAAAATAGGTGGGATTGGATTAATGGATTAAATAAAGTCCATAGATGACAACAACACCATCTTCAATACAGACAAAGAGGCATCTAATGTTTTTATCGATTCATCGCCATACAAAATTCAGTGGTTAAATATGCAAACTTGCTTCTAATGTTTTTGCCATGCCCTTTTACTTCATATAAATTATATTCCAGCCCCTATGCTTGCTTTTTTTTTCCACTTCCCCATGTCAAAGGTAAATTAGATGGCATTCATAGTAACAAAATAAGAGGTCTTTTTGCTCAAATTAATAGTATCAGGCTATCAGCAAATAATCAGAAGCAAAATTAACAAATTTGTCAAATTAATATTACGGTTGATAATTCAAGGGGTAAAGTGTTACAGTTTGTTGATAATAGAAGGGGTAAATTGTAAATGATAGTTAAGGATCTATGTATTTGATTCATTGTTTGTTAAATGCCAAAACAAACCCCGCCATTTCAACGCCTAACTTGAGCGAGTTTAGTTCTCTTGGTGCAACACGTTCGGCAGGGAAGCATTTGAATATGCTATTTCCAATCATTAATTAGTTTAATTAAATAAATAGATTACTGTTGACAATCTTGCAATATGGGATCGATAAATCAACTTCTTAATAATACATAATATTATTGATTTGAATATAAAACGGTAATTTTAAACAAAATAGAAAAAAAATGTGAATCAAACTAAAAAAATAATGATTTGGCTAGTTGACAAAAAATGCAAACCAGCACTAAAAACTTAGCCAACATTACATTTTAATATGAACAACTAAAAATAATGATTTGGCTAGTTGACAAAAAATGCAAACCTAACTTTATATTTTAATATGAACAACATTACATTTTCAAAAATAATGGTATTTTTTTTTTAAAAAAAAAGCTTACAATATTATAGCCATTTTACATTTTATATGTAGGATGGTTTCTTAACTGTTGTCAAGACGAGTCAAAGTTGGTTAACATATTGCATGAAATAATCGTGATTTATATTCAAATTAATTTATTTGGTTATGAGTATTTATGGCAAAAGACAAGCAATAATATCATTCCACACAATACGAAGCCATCAGGGATACTCATTTGACCGTTGATTTTGACCCATCACCAGTTGTGAACCATTTTCTTGCAAATAAAGTTGAAAAAACAAACATATAAAGAAAAGAAAAGAAAAGGCATATGGACAATATAAGGAAGTAGAAATTGCATAGAGAATAACACGAGTTCACTTGTTTTTCTTAAATTAAAAAGAACGAAAAAGGGATAAGTAAATAAATTAAAAACATCCTGCCTTCTTCGTTCTTCAAAATGGTCTCAAAAAAGTTGGGACTGTTTGCCAAATTCTCAGACTTGATCAAGAAATATATCTATCTTGTTGTTCTTGTAGAAGTTTAGCAGATGACTTTGCATTCAAATACAAACCGTTTACTTCCTCCAAATCCGCCTGTTTCACCAATATTGTTACAAAATTACAACATTGAGATATCAAAAAAAAAAAAAAGGTACCTTGCAAATACCCTCACGCCCATTCATTTTTGCCACAACACTCCCAGGTGATAATAACTGAACAGCATGCCTGTAAAAAGAGAACATTTTTTTTAATAAATATTGTGAGTTTTATAAATATAAGAAAATATATATATATATATATATATATATATATATATGAAATGATAAAAGGCAAACAAACCTTAAGGATGCTTGTTGTCCAATCTCACCAAGGTAAGCCAAACTTTCTTCATCTATTGACAACTCCTCCACTTGTGCCCTAATAGCCAATATCTATATCAAAAAGTCAACAACAAACACCTCAGTCAACATAGGTTATTTTTTCCTTATTTTCCACAACAAAAAAAAATGAAAATATTGATATAACCTGAATCATCTCAGCAGGACCATAGGTTTCTGTTCGTATAATCACCAATCTGTCTAAAAGGTCCACAGGTATCCCATGAGGACTTGACATATCAGTTCCCCTGTAAAACCAATATCCATGTCAAATGTCCTAAATACCCTTCAATCATTTAACAAACAAATAGGAGATAGATAGATAAGTTTACCTCACACTGCATATCCCTCTGTTGGTGGCAAAGATTACAATTGGAGACAACGAGCTTTCCAATGCACGATTCAAGTAAGAAAAACACTCCATATCCAACATATGCACCTATTAAAAAAAAGGTTAAATTAATCATAAAAAAAATTATAAACAAGTGAAGTCTCAAATAAAAAAAAGGTATAAAAAACACCTCATCAATGAATAAGACACCAGGGACAAGCTCTGCCACCCCTTCATCAATATAACGATTAACAACCTGCAATTAACAAACAACCTATTTGTGATTACTGTGTCATTCAAAGGTAGAGTTTATAAAAATAAAAAATATATATATTAAAACCTTATTGATTTCTTGTCGTAATTTGTCTGTAATTTCAGTTTTTCTAGGCTTCATCATTTGACCCATTAGTGACAATATATCTTGTCCACCTTGAGGACGCGCATTTGCAGCATCAAGATCATGAAGTGTTACATCCTGAACATTCAGAGCAATAAAATGTCATACATAATCATTTTTTTAAATAAATAAATAAATAAAGATTGTGGAAACAAACTACAAACCTGAACTATTTCTTTCTTTTTGTGAACTTCTCCTTTAGGAAGAGGAACATATTCTTCAGCCTCAAGATCATATTCTGTTGCAAATGCATCACTCCTGCCTACCCTTTTAACTGCACCACTATTTGCTTCTATATATATAACATCTCCAACAGCTACCTGTGTACTCCATACAACTAAAGATAAACAAATATCACAATACATATAATAATAATAAAAAGATAGCTACACTATACCTTTTCCTTGATCAAGGCATCATAAATGGTTGGGTCCAGCTTCAATTGCTTTGTTCCTTTAACAGTTTTTAATCCAATAATTACATGACTTATGGCTTTACCATATCCACCAGTCACACTTTCTATTTCCTCTGGAGATAGTTCAGTCACCTGAAACCATTTGTTCCCAAAAATATTACAAAAATTAAACTTTATAACCACATAAAGAAGCTATCAGGGTAAATGAAGTTTGTTGTTCTTACTTCTCCTTCATAAACCTCTTTATTTTCCTTGATACGTAAACCAATAGCCCTTCTGAAATTCTCCATCAAGACTTCAGTTTTCTTTACTTCTGATGAGTAGACTTCTGATCCAACCATTGGACAAAATGGGACCTAGACAAATATATATGTAGATTCTTAATCTTTTTTGTATATAATTGTGGATGATAGGGTGTAGATGTATGAATGACATACCTTAGTGCCAAGTTCTTGAGAGATACCAAGGGCAAGGGCAGTTTTACCAGTTCCAGGAGGTCCAGCAAACAGAAGTGCCCTTCCAGCCATCTTTTTTTGGCGGATCATATCAACTACAAGGCCACCAGCCTCTCTTGCTGCTGCTTGACCCACAAATCCAGCAGCCAAAGGGATTGCTTTTCCAGTAGCCTACACAAGTTAATTGGTATCAATATCGTAACTTGTATAGAATATAAGTGAATACAGATCCATCATATGTTGTCGAAGAACAAGAATTTGCAGCAAAAACTACGAAAATACAGTCTCATAAACTTGCAAAATAAAACCCAAAAAAACAAAGGAAGTTCTACACCCACTTCAATATTTTAGCCTCGAGCATAAGTTTGTAGTACGAAATTAATTGAACACTAAACCCAAACAGTAACTGATTTTTAGGGCATATAGCAAATTTAAGCTCATCGCGTTCGAAAAAGAAGAAAAGAAGTAGAAGAACTGGCAACACCAAAGATCGCAAACAACAAAGAAATCGGTTCCTCATACTTGCGAAAAATAATCTAGAGCATAAAACGATAGAGCGAAACCGTTCGATAAACCCTAAACCCTAATTAACTCAAAAATAGAGAAAGCCAGAATGGAAGAAAACCTCAAGCCCAAGGCCTTTGATATGAGTATGCGTGGCAATCCTCTGCTTCTTAGTAGTCGATTGCACTTCTTCTATCTTCATTGTTTTTCCGTATTCTCTAGTTGCGCAGAGCAGAGAGACGAGAGACGAGTTTTTTTGTTGTTTCCGTGACCAGAGAGGCAGTGAGGAGGAAGAGAAGCGACTGGCGAATTAATAGAAAGTTAGAAACCCTTTTCAGTTGTGGGCTGTAGCCTGTATTGCCGTTTTATGGAAATTGAAGTGCAAATTACAGAGTTTTGTTTTAAATTTTTACTAAGACATAAAACTCTGTTTATTAATAATATATTGATATTGAATTTTGGAAAGGAAAAAAAAATCCTATCGGTCATTAATACATTTTTAAAACACAACTTTTATTTAAGTCATTAGAATTTGATATTTCTTTTTTACATAGTTATTTTTCTTTAACGACCGAAAATAACTAAAACTAGCAAGAAGCTAGCAAAAAAGAAATTACAAATTCAAAGGAACAATACATAGAATTTTCAGCCATCATATCTGGGACAACCCGGAAACTTCAATCTTGTACACTTAGTCAATTCAATCAATATTCAACTTGCTTTGCTGATTTCTGGTGCTATTTAAGGGTTCATTTAAGTGTTTTAAGCTTGTATATAACCAAGGTTGAGTTTAGGAACGAGTCAGAGTGTTGAATAGTGAAAAAATCGGGCCATACACACCTCTTGGAGGAGTGTACGGCCGTACACCCACTCCCTGGCAGCACACACTCTTTTGGGCAGCACCTTTACCCCTATATAAAGGGTAGCCCCCCTTCCTTTCATTCCTTTAGCACCTTGGCAGCACACAACATCATTTCCCTCAAGTTTCTCCAACTTTGAACCTTCCAAAGCTTCAAGAACGTGAGTACTTCTTCCTCTAGCTTACAATCCATGAAAGACCACTCTATCCAAGCTCTATGTGTGCAAAAATAGACATGTTCTTTGTGTTGGAAGTGAATGCGGCCGCACACCCTCTTAGGGTGGTCGCACACCCTTAAAACACCCTCCAAAGTGAGAGTTTAACTTCCATATTCGATGTAGACATGCCCCTAGCCTTGTTGTACCTTGGATTGGCATTTTTGGACATCTTAGTGAGGGGTGTACGGCCGCACACGCCCTTGTGCGGCAGCACACTCCAAGTGTGCGGCAGCACACCCAAGTGTGCGACCACACACTCTTGTGTGCGACCATACACTCATCCTAGGACCCTTATCTTACCACAATTGAGTATAGACCTTGAACACTTCGTGGATGTGAGTGTGGACCTTGAGAACACTACAAAGACACCTCATTTCATGAGTGTACGGCCGCACACCCTTTGGGTCGCACACTCATGGCCGCACACACACACTCTAGGTGGCCATACACCCCCTACACTCCATCCTACAAGGTCCTATCACTTGGTGCAAATAGTTTCAAGTCCCTAGAGTGGTTTTCCATCACATATAGTGGTGAAATACCTTCATTTGACTCGTTTATGTGTCATTACATGTTATTAGGATCGAATCGTGTTCAAAGCTTCACTTGAACACCCGGCTCTTCGTATCGATCCTTCAATCAAACCACTTACCCGAGGTGAGTTCATACCCCTATTTTCTCCGTGTTTTTTTAATGTTTTCAAGGGGAGGATACAAGCTAAACATAAATGCTTTCAAAACTCATGCAATTCTCATACTTTAACCCCTTTTGTACTATGTTGAGCATAAGGGTCGTTTTCACTAAAATTGCATAGTTTTCCGGATTCGCTATTCACTACATTATACATGCAAACTATTATCGGTATAGTTTGGGATTTTCTAAATAGGACAAGTACAAGAATTTTCACTACTAAACATATGCACTAAGACATGGATAGTTTACAGTTTACATCACTACGTTATCACTATAAAAATATCACTATACACGGTATACATACAGATTTTCACTATGGTAGAACGCTATGACACTACATGTAAACTAGATTGTACGATACTGTGAGGCGCTACTTCACTACTGTACCCTTAGGTGTACAGGGATAAATCCTATCATAGTATAACCAGAGTCTCCTGGAGGGAGAGCGTGAGATTTGTGAATAGATCTATTCGGGACTGACAATCCCACACCCGAACTGCTAGCTACAGTTAGGCAGGCATGCCTAGGGTGACAAATGTCATTTAAAGCGACGCCTGAAGAACGTTGGAAAGGTCTCTAGTCATATCAAGCATGGTTATACGACTCACATTATGTATAATTCGCTTTTAGTTTACAATCTGACACTCTTCAACGGTTTTATTTATACTAAATAGAACTAATACACACTACGTATAATGGCTAAAGCCAGGGTTTTCAAACAGAACCGATTATGTAAACAAAGTACCTATACTTCATGATTAGCTTTAGCTAGTCACGTGAAGTAGTATTTTCGTATATCACTACGGTTTTCACTAACGAACATTCATGGTTTATACGGAATCGATAACACTACGTTTCCACTAAAGAAAATATCGATTTTTCTTGAAACTATACAAACATTTCAGCTAGCTCATTAACAAAGTTTTCATTTCAAAAAACAACTACTTATGAACTCACCAGCTTTATGCTGATATATTTTAAAACTGCTTGTATTCTCAGGAAATCAGTAGACAGGTACTTGCTGGATTTTTGAGAAGTTGGAGCAATAAGAGTCTTATGTTTATATTTTATATATACTCTCTGATGTAATTCAAACAAGTTTCAAACTGATGTAAACATTTCATATATGTATACACTGTGATGGTTGTGTTGCTATGGTTGCTATTATACATTGGTTGTGATGCTATACATAACGTCCTCCGCCCCGGAACGTTTCCGCCATCGGTTTCGGGGTGTGACAGATTGGTATCAGAGCTCTTGTTTATAGCGAACTAGTATACCGAACCTTACGTGGTATACAACTATAAACACTAAAGGGGGCCTAAGTGTTGTACACTAAAAGTATACTTTCAAAAATATAAGTATTTTTATAAAAAGTATACGAGCATGCATACATAACAAAATTCGTGTCATTAATAGAACAACACAAAAAGTATTTGAATGTTGGGGCACTGCGGTTTAACCTGGGCAATTATGTAATCATGTTTCGGGAGAATATAGTCTGATCAACTATATTCAGTCAAAACATGACCAACATGTGCTTGGGAGTAACGGTGGTGCTACAGCAGGTCTAAAACTTACCAAAAACAGTCAACATAAAATACTATAGGAGTATTTTGCTAGAGCCAAATTCAGTGAGGAAATTCATTCTTAGTGTTGTTGCCTATTTGTTTCATAGCGATAACTTAGTTACATTAGTAACCTTTCTTGCTTATCGCTTGGTAGAACACTTATTTATCAGGATAAGATATATTTTGTTTCATATATCTTGAGGACTTACCATCCTCTTCTTCCTGATTGTTTCTAGAACAAAATGCCTCCCCGACCAAGACCCATCAGAAGTAACGACACCACTCCGCCACCACCACCACCCCCTCAGTTCGACCCCGTCATGTTTCAGGCCGCAGTTACAGCCGCTGTAACTGCAGCAATGGCTCAAGTGAACTCAGGTGGGGCCGGAGGTGGGACCAACCCTCAAAGGCAAGACGGAACCCAGGGACAACAAAAGGAGTGTTCCTACAAGGACTTCATGATTGCAAAGCCCAAGTCTTTCGACGGAAACAGAGGAGTCATCGCTTTGACTCGATGGTTCGAAAAGATCGAATCCATCTTCGAAATTTGCACCTGTTCCGAAGCAAACAAGGTGAAGTTCGCCGCCTGCACCTTCACTGACAGAGCCTTGACCTGGTGGAATGGTCGAGTCAAAACCCTAACCCTGTCAGTGGCTGATGTCATGGGTTGGGAAAGACTGAAGGAACTCATGCTTGCGGAATACTGCCTGAGGGGCGAAGTGCAAAAGTTGGAGCATGAACTCTGGAACTTGAAGATGAAGGGTTCTGACATTGCCACCTACACTGCTAGGTTCTGTGATTTAGCACTCCTCTGTCCGGGAATGGTCACCCCGGAAAGCAAGAAAATCGAGAGGTACATATGGGGACTGACACAACCAACCAAAGGCAATGTCTTGGCTGCTAGACCCACTACATTTGAGAGCGCCAAGGATCTGGCGCAGGTGCTGATCGATAATGGGATCAATCTGGATGAGGTGGCAGCTGTTTCCGAGCCACAGAAGGAAAGTGGTGGGAAGAAGAAGAAATCATGGAATAAGCGGAAGGGTCAGTCTTCGCAGGAGCCCTCCAAGAAACAACAAACAGTGGCAGTTCATGCTGTTACTGCTCCTGCTGCTGCCCCAGCTACTGTTCCGACCACCCAAGCTCCTACCGGTGTTTATGCTGGGAAACTACCTTTGTGCAACAAGTGTAACTTCCATCATCACGGACCCTGCCGTGAGTTGAGTTGCAACAGCTGTGGGAAGAAGGGTCACACAGCTCGATACTGCAAGGTGCCAGCCCAACCAACCAACCAGGATGCGGGAGCAGGTGCTGGTCAAGCTTGTTATGGATGTGGACAGGTTGGGCATTTCAGGAGAAACTGCCCCAAGGCAACAACTGGTGGCAATACAAGAAGAGTTTTGGCGATGGGCCAGAATGAATCAGTCGTTGATCCTACCGTTGTTACGGGTACGTTCCTCCTTGACAACTCTTATGCATGCATTCTTTTCGATTCTGGTGCGGAGAGGAGTTTTGTTAGTCATGCATTCAAGCATCTAATCAAATGTAAATCCCAACCTTTAACCGAAAAGTTCACCGTCGAAATGGCTAACGGAAAGAAAGAGAGCGCTAACGACATATTCATAGGCTGTACTCTTACCCTAGACAATCACTCCTTTCCCATCGATCTTATGTCGGTATCCATCAAGAGCTTTGATGTCATCATCGGCATGGATTGGTTGAGCTCCAATCGTGCTGATATTCTTTGTTACGAGAAAGTTATCCGTCTCAATCTTCCTTCTGGGGAAACTCTCATGATTTACGGAGATAAGCTTAGCTCGAACCTTCGTATCATCTCGTGCATCAAAGCTCAAAAGTATCTACGGAAGGAATGCCATGCATTCCTAGCTCACGTCGTTGACGGGACGCAAAAAGTTAAAGACATCGAGAGCCTTCCCGAAGTCTGCAACTTTCCTGATGTCTTCCCCGAAGACCTCCCAGGAATCCCT